ATCCTTCAGTGCCTGCCCATTTCTTGACATGCTGAAGAGCATTGATAATATCTAACTGGAGCTCGACTGTTCATAACCATGACCGCTCAAATCTTTCGAGAGAGCGACGTGCTTTGTTTCGTGAAAGGGCAGCACCAGAAATGCGGATTTGATGGACACGAATGTTTCCATTTTAGGGCAGTTATGAAGGTTTGCATTTGACGGCTGTTTGGATGTTGGACCTCGTAACTGTAATCTACATAAGAATCCGATCAAGAAAGGACAATCAGCTGCGTGCGTGAACAGACCGCCTTGAAACATTCAGCTCAGGGATGTCGACGGGACACATTGGCAAGAACTGCAAAGCATGCATAAAAAGGCCTGCCGTAAATTGCAAGAGCCTACATGAAGTTCATGTCATGAACAGAAATCAAGTTCACTAATATGCGAGGTAAGCAGAATGGCTGAAGAAATAGCAATTGATGTGTGGACAATATCTAAAGATGAAGCAGAAAGAAAGATAAGGTGGCGCTACTGGAGTTTATGCATGATTCAGTTTGGTGGCCTGCAGCTAGACACGATTGAAACTGATCAACCATGGTGGAAACATGAGGTTCTGATGTAAGGTATCGGGGACATCAGCACTAATGTGGGCCTATCAAGACTGTTGGACCTAAGAACATGTGGCCATACAATTCAAAGGATATGCAACCTGTAATGGCCATCCTCAGTCGTGTTGTGACAAGTTTAGTAGAAATTGGTTAAAAGCTGCTTAAGTTTACAATGAATACAGCCAGAGCATCCGGGCATTGTTGCTGTGATATTCGCTGATAAGAAGAAATAGAGCGTTTTCAGGAGAAACGCTGACCAGCTCATGACAGGAATTAAGGTCCAAAAAGCTGCTGGAATTATTGTATAAATGGCCAAAAGATTATGTGAAGACAACAATGCTCTACGGTGATGAAAAGCTAGTTGAACGTTGCAGTGGTTCGCCAGGAGCTTGGCAGCTGTGAAGGTGGCTCCGAGTAATGGGCCAGAAGCGCTGACAGAATGAACCAAGATGGCCTGATAATTATGCACATCCCAGAGCATTTAACTGGGCAGTAACTGTGATTGAGGCGACGCGCGGTGCCAGGACATGGCGCACAGAGGGAGCTGCAGCCGTCTGAAACTCATCCTGATGAAGAAACATGACTCATGGAGCAGTACAATTGTTGCAAGACAGACGGGCTGATTCGCAGCCTTGAGACACCTGAAAGGAGCTTGGGAATGCAAGTAAAACCCAATGCCAGTCAGTCACAGCCTTCCCCTGGCTTGACGGAGCGAGAGGACACCCTTTGCATTGGCGTTTACTTGTAGATCAGTGACGTAGTGTGACTGACACCACAAAGGTTAATGTCTTGGGTACGGAGGCGGCTCTGTATGTTGCCCTGTAGGACTGGGCCTTTTTTTATGTGTCACATGCGCTGACGGCCGTGTCAGCCGTGCAGAGCCGCGGGAACGGGGCCCTGCGCCCGAGGCGCTTCCGCTTGAGAACTCCACGGCCAGGGAGGTTTGACCACGGCGCGCAAGGAAAATCCGAAACCCGACGACGGTGCAAACCCGTTCGAAGCACCATGGCGAACCTGTTGAGCGTCGCGGTTCCGGACGGGATGCTCGGAGGGGCTGGAGGGGGGGTCCAGTCTGGATCCCGCGAGCCAGTGGCCTCTCCACCGACCGCCAAAGAGAGCTTCGAGCTGCTGTGGAGGGTCGGTCGGCGGCGGAACCGGGGGAGGCTTTGGCGACGGCGGGCCAGCCCCTGGCGCGGGTGGCACGGACGGTGCGGGCATCGGAGGACCAGCCTCCGACGCCGGAAGTGAGGCAGAGGCAAAGAGCGACAGAGGGGGTACGGCAAGGGCGTACGCGGAGCTCTTCGACGGGCACAGGACGAAGTTATGACGGACGCGCAAGTCCCTTACGCGGATGACGACACGGCCTACCTAAGCGTAGGCGAGGAAACGGCGCGGCATGCGCAAAAAGCATGGATGAAAAATGGACATTCATGCGAAGGCCGTGAAGGTCCTGAAACCGAAGGGAAGCAACAGGAGCTTCTCATAGCAAGGTGCCGCTCATAAAGGTTGGCTAAAAAGGTTAGTCATCAGTATTCTATACTTAGTGAAAGTGCTGCGAAGGGTGTTTGAATGAATAGAGCTTTTGGTAGTCAGCTGGCTCAACGGGATGATATTAATGAGCCAGGCCATGAAGTGTGACTGAATTATAGTACTTTATCTGTGTATCGATGGGATTTGATAGGAATACACGAAGGTTTAGAAGTATCTAGGCAACTAGGGTGAAGTTGCGCTCCTTTGGTGAGCCAGTCGACCCTATGTTGCAAACTAGAGGGATTTCATTTGAATAGGTTGATTTGAACGGTGAAACGGGGGAGAGACGAGTGATAAGAGTGACATATACAAGATCCGTTTGAAAAGTGGAATATACCAGGGAATCTTAGGGGAATAGTCGTAGAAGGGGGGCCAACCCCGCGGACTATAAATAGGGGAGCGGTGCCCCTTGTTGTTGCCAGCATAGCTGACCCAACGTGGTCCCAAGGGACCAACCACACATTCCTTGTAATAATCGATTGATTTGCATCCAAGATCGAGCGCAGGTCACAACCCGTGGAGGCTTGTTCTGAGTGGCTGCGTGTGTGTTGCATGTGTGTGTGTGAATTGTGGGTGAAAAGCAGCTCCATTATGTGAGCGCTTAAAGACACTATAGACGTGTCCTATTGGGAACGTCTGCGGGCCGCAGGCACGTCCTAAGTGTTGCTATTTTGAGTGTGTCCTATTGGAAGAACCTGCGGGGCCCCAAGCGCACATGAATAGCAGTTGCACATTATGCAATAGACTGGGAAGCCTACGGGGCCCCAGCAAAGCACCTTCAGGAACACCTGGGGTGTCGAGTTGTAGTTGCCTTTGAATATAAGCACACATTACTATAATAAACAATAGGGCTGTTGTACTTACCGCCCAAGCTGCGTTTCTAAAGATAGTTGCTGCATTTCTGTCGTGGCTAAGATCGGTTGGGAGGTGTGCAAGGGGTGCTGCACCCTCAGGAGACACTTCAGAATCCCGAAAGAGAACATTGGCATTTGTTGGAGGCACCAAAGATCCAGGTCAGAGTGCTGAGTCACTGTTGAAGTGTTGCAAGTAATCGTGACTGTTTCGGCGAGCCAGTTGTTGTTGGACCCTATACTGAGGTGACATGAAGCTGTAATTTATGCAACGTGCGTTCATAACAAGTGTTGGACAAGCCCAGAATCACGTTGTGAAGCTGGCGGAAGGGTGGTCCGCCTTTTTGAAATTCTGTGTTGCTGGTTTTCGAGTCCCAGAAACTTGTCGAGTCTATTGCAGACTGTATCGGTGATAGAGAGCGAAGCTGAGTGGTCGCCACGGTGACCGGTGCTGCACACACAGTTGATTTGACATTCGAAAAGTTGATTACAGTTTGCAGTTACATTCCCTTCAATTCCCTAGTGTCCTTTCAGCGAAACTCTGAAAAACCGACGCCGGTCGTAGCATGAGCCAGGCTGGGGAAAATCCCAAAGAACTAAGCAAGGAAATTGAGGCTCAAACTCCACCAACAAAAGTTATGCCATCAGAGTGTCCTCCAGTTCCTGTGAAGGATGATCTACAAGGAAGCACACAGGAAACTCGGAGACGTTCACTGACTAATAATCAGACTGGCCAGTTGCTTAAGAGCTGGGAGGAGCTGTCCACAAAAGTAGTTCATAACTAATAAGTATAAGGACTCATAGTGTCAACGGAAGGCTGGATGTAAAAGTACATGTGGACGATATTCAGTTGTCCTTAGAAAGTATAAGAGGCCCAAGAAACAAAACTAGGGATTGGACAGGTGTGCTCATAAACACCCATCAACTGTTCCCACTTTGGAAGGCAGTTGGTGCAGCCTTACTAAATGTAACTTCCATCAACCCGTTTGTCTACGGACCGGTCTTGACAGTGAGGGTTGCAAGGCTAGTTCGGGAAATGGGCGAACTGGTCTGGCGCATCTTTTGCTCAGTAATGCGCGGAGAATCACTACAGCTCGCCAGTTGGGCCGGAGAGAGAGCAGGAGTGAAAGGGCAGCTGAGTTTCTTTTGGAATTCTGAGCGCAGAAGGCGCAGCCGGACCGGGCAGGAAAGAAGTGCTGAACCCATCATGTCACAGCCTGTGACAGGTGTGGTCGCTGGCCCAGTCAGTAGTCCCTTCCATTTCCAGTTGGTCTGTGCTTTTGTAGCTGGTTTAGTAGCAGGTTGTTATGTGTCATTGGGATCCCTTTGCCTGGGGATCTGGGCCGGACACATTCTGTAGCGCATATACACGTGGCCGTGACTCAAGAGCCATATTTGGCAATCACACGAAATGGCCATTCAACAGCGTTCGATCACTCGGGCGCATCGTGGCGACACTCATTTACCAAGAAAGATATTGAAGGGTACAGTAGTCGTTCACAAGCACAGTCCATTGTCCCAATGCTGTTGGCTATTCCTGTGCACACGTGATGGACCACCATGCGACGCGTGATTTGCGGCAACAGGCCAAGAGAGGCGAACATTGCGTTAGGTTGCCCGTTTGTGCTGAGGATGCATGGATGTACATTTAACCCAGTTCTGTCGCATGCCCGCATGCATTAGAATGAGCAGACTCCCCCCGTCCCCCCCTCTGGCTGTGCCTGCGGCAGCGCATGACGGTGTTGTGCAGCGTTGGGTCCCAGTTGGCAACGCGTTAGCTGCCCATGTTCCCGCGGCACGCCGAGATGAAAATCTTCGGAACAACAATCACAAATGAAATGGGCCGCACCCACTGCACACCAAAAAATTCCCCAGCATCCCATGACCGCACGCCCGAATGCCACCAACCGACTGTGACTAAACAAGCCCCTTTGACACCCTTGTCCAGATTACCACCCTCCCGCCAGGCCCACTGCCTAGTCCCTTGCCCATCCCAAGCTACAAAAAGGCGTGGAGGCGAGAAACCATTTCAAGAAGGCCCTGCGTTCACAGCACCGGCCTTTGACCTTTGCAGCGCAAAGTCCCTCCCAGCCTGTCGGAAGGAATTGACGCAGCGCACCCGCCTGATGGCCTTCCCCCAGTTGCGCTGCGCCCTCAGAGCTCTAAGCTCCTCCTCTGGATCCTCCGGCTCCTCCCAATCCTCTTCTCCACCGCCCGATCTGCTCCGGCTCCAGTTCCTCAGCATTGTGCCCACTCGGAACCCTCTCCACACCCCGGACGCAGACTTCTCGGTCTTCTTAGGGGGGGAGGTCCTCCCACACCCGCTGGCGCTGCTGCTGCCCCCTGATCGACCCATTGAGGCGACATCCTCTCTGGATCCCAGCTTGTACAACCTGTCCCCACGTGAAGACACTTTCCTCAGCTTGTTGATCTTCTCCATCGACTCCTGCTGCTCCTTGGACAGCGTCTTGAAGCAATTGATGCACACGCACTGTGACTGCATGCCACAGTGGCCCAAGTTGCCATGTGGGCTGATCTGTGTGTGCTCGCCACAGTAGGTAAGGTTGCAGATCCCGCAATAGTGGCGGTGTAGGCGATTCTTCAGATTTCGCACCCCACCCCACTTCCGAGGGCACCTGCAAGCGCAGTCACAGTGTCTTGTCAGTCACGAGCACAGACATGTCAAGTGGACTACCTTATTGCGCACATTTGTCAAAACACTGCAGAGTACCACACTCACAACACGACGTAGATGTCAGGCGAGTCTGCTCAGCTATAGATTCGCACCGCATGTGGCATTCCTGCTCATTTCATGGACACTTGTGCAATTTTCTTCGCCTGTGAGGACACCCACATCACATCCTCGTATTACAGCGAGTTGCGTATTTCATAGAGGTGCTGAATGGAGGGCGAACTTTGTTGGGATCCAAAGTGTGCAACACAATGTGCACGCCACAAAATGACTGGACAAGCCCATCCCCATGCTGCCGGCTTAAGCACGACATTCCAGTGGTTCCTTCATGCAGCTAAATGGTTTCTTTGTTGCAATGTGCTCAACAGGCCCACCATGGCTGCCGACAGCTAACATGTCTTGAGCTCAGCAAAGAACCAAACAGACCCAGAGATGGTACAAACAGAAGGTTTCAAACTGAAATGTCCACATCACAACAGTCAAACAGGTGAACCTGCAAAGCACCAACAGAGGAACACAAACATGGAGGAATGGGATCAACAAGAAGCTGCAACTGGGCGATGCAATGTTCTGGTGCAGCATGTGGGGCACAAAGCTGGTGTGTCCAACCAACGTGCAATGTACGAAAGCACAATACAGGGATATGGCTGCACCTGCATGTCCTCAACTTACCCTTCATATGCACACTGGCCACGGATCAGACCAGGATGATGTTCCTTGACATCCCCAGCGACATCTGCAGCTGGCTGTGCGTCCCGATCCCAGCTGCCCATAGTGTAGTCATCGCCACTGAACCCGTTGAAAGCAGCATTCTTTTCATCCCATAGACCATGCGAGTACTCAGCAGAGTCCAGGCTGTACGCATCAGTCACATACTCCTCGAACTTGTCGCTCTGAGCTCTGAGCTTGCCTGAGGAATAAGCCCGACTGCTGGACACCACTGGCATAGAGTTCCTGAACGCTGGTGGCAACCCTGGCCGATTATAGAACGCAGAGGGCCCAGAAGCCACATCCCGCGTCTGCCGAAAATGCGAAACTTCACTGTCAGCACTCGCTTTCTTGACCGCCATCTTATTCCTGCACGCCCAGCGTTGGATGCCTGTAGAGCCCAGCAGGCGCCCCAGCTTCCAGATCTTGCAGTATGCCAGGCACTGCATGAACGTGATGTGCTGGACATGAATGAATCGTACTGCGAAAGAGATGGCCACAAGAAGAATGGTACTGACACCGATCATCATCTGACCCCCCTGGGACCCTGTCGCCATGCCGCTCACTTTGACCTGTGCCAGGTCCATCGAGCGATCAGACATGCTGGTGTCCAAGGGCTCGGGGCAATACTCCCCTTCCAGGCTGACAATTGTGCAGTTGGAGACGATGGCATGCTCACTGCTCCCATAGGCATTCCACGCTGCAACCCTGTACTGGTGGTTTCCCATCAGTGATGGGAAGTCGACAGCGTGTTTCCGAGCACTGCCAGCATCCTTCAACTCGTCGGCAAACGTCCAGTGGGCAGTGCTAGGCCCCTCAGAGCGCCTCGCAGTGGTCCTCTCAACAACGTATTTATGAACGGGGGGCTCTCCTCGATCCTCCGGTGGCAGCCACTCTACAAACACCTTGCCACAACTGGTGTCCACTGTGCACTGCAGGGCCTGTGAATGACAAAAGGGGCACTGACGATTTGAACTGCGCTGTAAACTTGCATTGATTTAGTACCCTAACACTTCAGAAATCAATGACTTAGCAGCATTAAAGGAATGGACGGAACCACTACTGTGTCAGTGCTGTCTCAGCATCACCTTCATGTTTGTCGCTGCCAGTGACGGCAATGCAATACATGTGCGAGTCATATGGGATGCTGCAAACAGAGGGCAGACAAAGATTGAGTAAACATGATGATCAGTTGCACATCAAAAGGACACGGCAGGCAGAGATAAGAGGGCCACGATGCCAATAATTGAACTGAATTGTTTTTACCTGTGGCTGTGCCGGTGGTCTTCCAATACCTAACATCAGCCGATTTAGGTTACGCTGAATCTGCCTGCGGTGCAGCTCGCTTTTGACCTGGGTACCACACAAAGATAGGTGGACATTATGCACGTGCATACACACACGCACACACACACTTGGGCTCCCCGTCTCACCTGTGAGATGGGGATTTCGGCCCTTTAGTGAGCAAACCTGGGATGCAAGGTTTTGAACAGACACTGATGTGGGTTGCTGAGCAGACCCAAGGAGCCTGATATAGCCTTCGTTGCTCCTTGGGCCATGAATGTTCTCTTCAAGGGCATGTAACAATTGCCCCGCCCCCCCCCCCCACCCCACCCCACCCACCCACCCACACGCCCACACAAAATCAACCCAAACACTGTTAGGCATGGATTTGTCAACATGTGAACACATCACCACACAACTCCTACAAAACCATGTACAAATGGCATGCAATAACATGTTTGGGAGAAGTTTACAACGATGTGCCTCTTGACCCTCAACTACTCTGATCGTGACAAGTTACAAAGGAAGCACACCAAAACACAGCAGAGCACCAGTCAACACCACCTTGAGGTCAGGTGGAACTTGAACGCACTGGACAATACATACTCACCATGGCATTGCAAAATAGACACAACGAATTCAGCACACGACCTTAGACACGCACCTTCAAATCATTTTCCAGAGTGGCCCCTCCATCCATGACTAGTAGAGGGAAGTCTTCAGCCTGCAATGTGGCAAAAGCCACAGTCACACATGCAGCGGATGCAGCACTGAATGGCTATGAGCTGGTGGCGGGGGTCATCTTGCCATAGGGAGAGCATGGCCTCACCGTTATCGCATTCTCCTGAAAGGCTTGCACATACTGCGGCAGCTGAAGGCTGTGGCGCACCCACTCTGCCATCGATGAGCCCTGCAGCATGGCAACAGAGTTATCCCCACACCAGGGCCACTGACAATTGGCAACAGCCAGTATGGGTGCTGCCACCCTTTACCAAACTGACTCCCATCGTCAAACCATGCAACCTCTGCTCCCTCTCCATGCAGTGGAACCATTGACACGCACAATGGCGTCGCAAGCATTGGCGGCAGTCGACAACACGAGAAATGCATGTTCAAGGTCCATGGCAACAGGCTGGGGGCACCTAAGTGGCACAACAACGCCTGCCACGCAACCGAGAGAGCCGCACAAGCGAGGGCGGTGGTCGCATTGACGCCATCTTTCCGGTGCCAGCACGAATACTGGGGCAAACAGCCCATTATCAGCCAGGCCGCACCGGCAGTCCAGCACCCGCCTACACCCCCAGCACTCCCGCCGACCACCGATCGTTCCACACCGCCTCCAACCCACCTCCAGCACCTTAGAACCTCACATGACATTGCTTAGGAGGGGGTGCCCTTTGTATGACCCGTTCCTTTCTCTCTTTGTAACAAATCTTACCTCCAGCATCTTGGCGAGGTGGCCACGCAGCTCGCCCTCCGAGATGGAGTCGCTCCCGTCCGCGTTCACCCGCATGGCGCCCATGCTCACCGCCGCGTCCAGCTTGTTGGGTGTGCCGAAGTCCGAACCGCCGATCTCGCTGCTAATCCACCGCTTGGCCTCGCGCTCGTCTATCTTGCCGTCGCCGTCCACGTCCAGGTCGGCGAACAGCTGCGAGGCGGCCTCCCGTCGGGGATCCTGGCCGCGACACAGCGCGCCCGGCGCCACGCAGGCCAGCCACAGCGCCGCCAGAAGCCACCGGAGGCGGCAGCGGCCCCCCATGACTCAGGGCTTCGGCGCTGGGACGCGATCGAACCGAGGGGCAGACGTCAGAACGGCCAAAACCTTCGGACGGCGGGATGCGATTTGTCGCCCGCGGGGCAGCTGGCGCGCCTCGAGCCCTCGCCCGCGGTCAGCCGCTCGGCCCGCGGCGGGCTTGGGGCCTCAGGAGCCTGGCGCTGCGCGCAGGCCGGACTTGGGGAGCGTCCGCGGCGGCCTCCGTTTTGCATGCACGGAGGGCGCCTGGATTCTCCATGCGATGCGCTGGCTCTTGGGCGTGGCGGTAACCCAATTGGCCAGCTCCGACCTGTTTGTGGGCGGCATAAAATTACTGGCTGCACCAAATCGGTGACTGCTTGCACCAAGTCACGTGCACATCATGTCCAACTCCGTCCAAACTAACCTAACCTAAAACCTAAACCCTAAAACCTAAACTTATACCTATCCTAACCCTAAAACTCACCCTGAAACTAAACCTAACCCTAAAATTGAGGTTAGGACAAAGTGTGCACGTGACGTGGTGCAAGCAGTCACCGATTTGGTGCAGGCAGTAATATTATTTCTTTGTGGGCTGCCTTAACGTCGTGCTCGGTGACGTAATGCGACGCGACCGCAAAAGTCGAAAAAAACATCAGTCCAACATCTTTCTTGCGAAGATTCCTCCATTTTTGTGCAGGCCAAGACGCACATGGACCTAGTTTCACGGTTTTGGGAAAGCGATGGTGCAGGGCTTCATGGGTCGACATTGTGCACTGGGCGGGCATCGATCGGCCGGGCCAAGAGGCGGTGACAGAAGTGTCGTCTGACATGCCGCCGCTGTCAGGGCTGATACCGGTACGTGGGTTTGCGTTGGGGTTAGCCGGGGTGGGTGGGGGTGGTGGTTAGGGGCATGACAACTGATGTGATGCTGCTCCTGCGGGTTGGCCATGGGTGGATGCATCAGGCTTGGTGGGCTTTTGGTGACAAGCACATTCATCAAATTCCCTATCTGCCTTTGGAAGCTCCTCCTGTCTTTTTCCCTTCGTGGCACAAAGTATCCATAGTACCAGGCTGCCCTTGGCCAATCATTGAATGTGGCACGGGCTTGTACAGGTGCATGCACCGCCAGAATGTGGCAGGCCCTCATTTCTCTAGACGTCTAGGCAACAGTGGAAACAATCCAACACATGTTGGGGCTGTGTGTGGTCTGTGGAACCACAAGTGACCCTCCTTTTCCCTTCTGTGGTTCTGTTCCCCCAAATCCGACTTCAACATATCTGCAGATGCACATGACCATGCTGTTGCATGCAGCATCCAGTGCAAATTTCGCACCACTGCCTGTGGTCACTTCTGCTCCACCAATATCTATGCAAGGGCTCCCTCAACGCAGCGTAGTGTCAATGGAGTGCCAGGCAGCCACACTCCCACAGATGTTAAACGCCAGTCAATCTTCCTGTGGCAGCTCTCCAAAGCCTGTGCAGCTGTTGACATATTCAAAGCAGACCATGGTGCCCTGAATATGCAAATGCTCAGTGCCCAGCACCCTGGCAAGGTGCACTGGATTTCATGCACACCCACGACGCATGCACCTCTGCAGACAGGCTTCATGAAGAACCTGTTTGCCCGGATGCCACCCGTGTCACTCTCCCGGCTCCCAGTCGCCCTGCTGAAGAAGCTTCTGGCCAACAATTACAGCCGAGCGCATCTAGGAGCCAGACACCAAAAGAATACTATTGAAGCGCTGAAGTGTTACATGCACTGCTCTCGCCAGCCTCTGTAGAACCTGGAAGAAGTTGCGTGCCAAAGATTGATGCCAAGGATCGAAGTTGCGCGCCTCTTTGATCCACAAGCCACATACAGGCCATATCATTCGAAGGCCCCAAGGGCATATGTGGATGCAGATGAGCAGTGGCCAACTGCACTGGGAGCACAGCAAACATGCATAGGGTGAGCAACTTGGCATGCCACAGATACACACTTCTTCAATCAGCCAATACTTTAAGGCAGGGCCATTCCACCCCACACGGCAAAGAGCAGTTGATCTTCACAAGCCTCCGACTGTGGAACATCTTCACACTTCCCCAAACGATACCGCAGTGTCTGCAACCCTTCCTCGATCCACAGTACTGAAAGAAATAATGCCAAAACAACAATGCACCCAGCCCCTCATCTCACACTGCACGCCTATATATCCGACCCCAATCAACAAAATTGCCATCACTTGAACCAAGCCGTGATGGCCACACGACCCACGTGCGATGGCATCACACAATGGTCCACCGCCCCACTGAGGAACAGCACTGCACGCCCTGCCTGCGGTGCCACCTCCAGTGCCATCTCCCCCCCCACCTCCACCCAGTCCAGGCCTGCTCGCGGCTGGTCGTGATCCCTGCTGGCCACCGACATGTCATCCCCCACACTGCTAAGATCGTATGTCCCATCCTGGAAGCCCACCTCTGCCATCACTGAGCTCGTGGTGCTCTTGGGCACGCCAACATGATCGAGGCCATCAGACCGCAGGGAGCCAAACTCGCTAAGCTCAGAGATGGAGACTATGTCCCCCTCAGAGGCAGTGCCCACCGGCGGTTGCTCCCCACTGTGAGGGGGCCGGGGCGATGACCTGTCGGGTTGCACAGCCGGTGCCAAGGTGCGTCGGTCGGTGGGCGATGAGAAGTGCCCGTCGACAGCGCCCAGTCGCAGTGCCCGCTGTGCTGCTGGGGACGAGGGCAAGGCGATGTCCCCTGGGCCACGGGCTCCATAGTGGCTGGGCGTGTGGGGCACTCCATTTGCATGGGTGTCCATGTTTATGGCCTCCAATGAGTGGCGTCGGTGTTCCAGGTGGGCAGCATGGTTCATGCGGGCATTTTTGCATGGTGGCCACAGCCTCAGGGCACCCCCATCTTCTGGCTTCCAGTCAGCATTTGTGTACACAATGGCAGTAACCTGCACCCCAGAATGACAAGGAGCATTTGCTTTGTTTGTTCCATGAGAAGGTACACATTCTGCCGCCGTCACTGGCCAGTAGGTATGGACAAACGTGTGTACACTGAACCAGACATCGCCTAAAAGACACAAGTGCAGCTTATTGCTATACAGCTGATAGCTGTGCTGCGATCAACGTGCCCAAGGGTATAAACACTGGGGGCCTATACAGAAAGACTGGATGGTTGAAGGTACTGGCTTCAAAAATTAATGGATCGAGGAGAAAAACACAGAAATACCAGCACAAAACCTTCATACATCCACTTTTTGGATGCTGTCCAAGGGGTACACAGGGAGTTTACGAAGAACGCAGCAGTGAGCCAATATGACTTTGCAACCAGCCTTATGGATGGATGCAGCTGGCACAGCTCGCCCCATTCAGTCACCAAACCAGCTGCTCAGTGCATGCATGTGTGCAACTCTATCCCTCTCTGAAGGGTCTCAATATACAGGGCACCAGAACACTGAAGACTATGTTTGACCAGGGATGGACAGATATCTCTAGACACAGCAAATACTATTGGCAGGCTGGGCTCTGTGTGCTACTCTCTCCCAGGACTTTTAGGTGCACAGGACTGAACACTGCATTTCTTTAACAAAACGAAACCAGACAATGAGCATTCCTTTACCAAACGACTGCCCTGTGGACGATACTTCATTTGTGCATCAAATGATGCTGGCAACCCTGAGGGCAACAATAGGAGCACCACCTGGGCACTAACATCAACGTCTGAGAGGTGCAGCCACCAGGTAGCTATTGCCACCCACCCGTCTCTGGTGCGTATCACTCCCGTCATCAGGGAAGGCGTCTCTGTGTTTCACATATTGAGCCCCATTCCCAGGGTAGTGGGATAGCTGGTACTCCACCACGTTGTTCTGCAGACCCACAAACTCCTGGAGGTCCTCCTGCAGCTCCTGCAGGGCCACCACGACTTCAGCGAAGACGTCAGTGTCTAATGGTGGCTGACCCAGATGTAGCCACATTATGTAATCGCCACGGGCGTTTTTGTCCCGAGCCTTGGGGTTGATTTTCGATGCCTCCAGCATGCGGCCTGGGCAATACAGTCGCAGAGGAGTGTTCACAGAAGTGAAGAAGACTCAAAAGTGCCAGCGAAACAGACCGAAAGCGCCCGGGGGAGGATTCACTGCAACAGACCAACATACAATGGTGAGCAAGAAGAGAACGAAGCACTCTGCCGCAGGCAGCTGCAGAACAGAGGAAGCTTGGAGGAAGAAGCTGTGGGAGAGCAAGAGTCAGAGAAAATGAGTTTTGGGCAACAGGCACTGGTGTTGTTGCCTGTGGGAAAGTGTGAGCACCAGTGAACTTTGAGTTGGTTGGATTGCAGGCCGGACCTTTTTGCTTCAGCCTGCAGGTCTCCTCCCTAATGGCGATTGCGACCTCCTTGGGTATGAAGTTGTCGATCACCAAGTACCCATGCTGCTTAAACTCCTCGACGTTGATGATCCCAAGTCGCTTCAGCTGCAGGGGACTGCTCACCCTCTTCCGAAACAGCCGAGAACAGACCTGCAGCACAGGGCCCCACCCGCCTGAAATCAATCCCACGCTTCCGCGCGTTCGCCAGCGAGCAGGTAGCCACCTAGCAGAGGTGACCAATTCAGCGAACCATTGAGCACCACAGAGGCCGCGAGCGACCGTGGCTCCCTCTGTGCGGTACGGCCACAGAAACGGACGCAAGCAGGCAAGCACACCAGCAAACCTCCAAATTGTCCATGTCACGTCCGGCCACCGCAGCCCAATCACGTCCCCATCCATCCCCACGAGATGTCACCTCGGGTGCAAGCATTTGCGAGGAAAGCGTTCCACCCAGGCCGAGCTCGCCACCTGCGAGAGTCCCGCGTTCAGCTCACAATCGCGCAATCCCACGCTACGGCGCCCCGCGCGCTCCCGCCACTCGCGGCGCCCCCCCACCTGGAACGGGTCCTCCTGGTTGTCCAGCGCCTGGATGAGCTGCTCCTCCGTGACCTCCACCACCACCTCCTCCTCCTCCTCCTCCTCCCGGAAGGTGCCCAGCTCCTCGAACTCCCGCGCCTTGCCGGGCTCCTCCTCCAGGTCGATCGCCAGCGAGGCTATGCGCGACGCCAGTGACGCCGTGGTGGCTACCGTCGACGAGCAGGTCGACACGGTGCTCTGCCAGTCCGGGACGTCATCCCCCTCGGCGGGCGGGGCTCGCAATCCTCCTAGCTCCCTCGCCCGAGGGGACCGCATGCCGCGTCCCCCCTGCACGGGTCCGGATGCTCGCGGCCCCGGCGGGCAAATCGAACTTCAGCGGGCCTGGCGCGGGTCCCTGAGCCCGGCGCGGAACTTGAACCGAGATTGGCGTGGGGAGATTTGTGCCGGTGCCGAACAGAGAGATCCTGCGAAGCTGACGGGCTCGGGGAAGCAACCGCAGGCGTCGCCCGGGGGGCGGAAGGCGGAGGGGAGGGAGGGGGCTCTAGGGCGCGGGGAGCCCGTGGCCTCGCGGCGTCCCGTCGGTAGGTGTCCAGCGGCGGGGAGCGCGCGTGCGGAAGACACGGCCCGAACAGCGTCGCGGCACCGGGAACGACCCTTTTGCGCTATCCGGATGTCGCGCGCCCAACTGCTGGGCAGAGTCCGCGGAAAGGCCGCTATATAGTATACTATATAGTGCACGCTATGTCCTGACCTCAGTTTTAGGGTTAAGTTTAGTCTTAGGGTAAGTTTCAGGGTTAAGATTAGGGCTAGGCAGGTTTAGGTTCAAGTCTTAGGGCTTCGGGTTCAGGTTAGGTAAGTTTTGGAGGGAGCTGGTGCAAGCAGTCACTGATTTAGTGCAGAAAGTCACCGATTTGGTCCAGCCAGTAATTGTATGCCTCCAAACAGCCGGGCTTAGATCCATCTGATCCACCAAATCGCGTCATCAAACTCAGAAAACAAGCGGGCCCGCGTAGATGTGTGCGCGTCATGCCCAGTCGCCCTGTGGATCGGTGCCATCCGGCAGCAAAGGGAAGCGAGTAAGGTCGCCCCCGCAAGAGCAGAAACTCGCCAGAAGCCGTTGCATTCGGTCCAGGACCGCAGGAAACCGGCAGCACTCCGTCGAGGGGCGCAAGAGAGCTCGCCGCTTCCCCCCGTTTCTCCCCCGAACACCGCACCTCCCTGCTGCCCTCGCTAGTCCCTCCCCGAGGCAGACTTATAAGGCGGATGAGTTCCATAGAAGGTGACACCCCTGGGGCCACCTGACGTGGCCAGAATCCATTCCCCGCGGGAGCCACCGGCGGCCTGTTCCCTCCACCCCTTCCCCTCCTCCCTTCTGGCATCTGACCAGCCCAGGTGCCCGCCTCTGGGCTGGGATGGAGGCCGCTGCGCGGCTGGCGCCCCCGCAATTGGGCGATCACTTTTTTGCGGCTGCCTGAAGCTGTGGGACTCTCCGCGCCGCAGTGCCACGGAATTTCCGTTTGCTGGAGGAGCTGGAGATGGGCGAGAAGGGCTTTGGTGATGGCACCGTGAGCTACGGGATGGAGGATCAGGAGGACATGATGATGCGGCACTGGACGGGGACCATAATTGGGCCCACCAACGTGAGAAGGGGCCCCATGCGCGGCATGCGTCTTGCTCGTGGCCGGCGTGCGTGCGGATCTTTTACCGATTGCGCGTGTGCGCCCGCAGACCGTCCACGAGGGGAGGATTTACCAATTGAAGATATACTGCGATCAGAATTACCCCGACAAGGTGCGCGACCTCCTGCTCGAACAAGCTGTGGGCTGCCCGTTGTGGGTCAGCGTGCGGCTGATCTGACGCCCTGAAGCTTTTCCTTGACCCGCAGCCGCCGGAAGTACGGTTCCAGAGTCGCGTGCACATGACGTCAGTCCTTCAAGACGGTCGGGTGAGTGCAGACCCATGCTCCGCGCCAGTGCCTTGCCCCGCCTGCCCTCTTTTGAACTCTTGGCAACGTGTCCAGGGTGCCCCGCGGGTCAACGTGATGTTTCTCACCCGGGTGGGGTGAGCGTTCTGTCGCTCGCCTCTGGTGTGTGATGGGAAACCCGGGGACGCTACTGCCTTCGAATTCCCTCTAAAGTGCCACTGCTTAACGTTGCCGCGCATGAGTCGGCCATGGAACCAGCGAAACCCGGATTCAAAAGGGAAACGCGCCCAGCCCGCAGGCCCCAAGCCCCAAGTCGCTTGATTTTGTGAACCAGTCCTCACCTCCGAGTATTGGCAGTGCAGACAATGCATACAGGGATCCAAGGCCAATGGCCATCGTTTTGGAAAGGCAGAGATGTTCAGGGTGCCATGGTGCAGGCGGCTCGTCGCCTTCCTTAACTTTTATCTCCTGTGTGAATCTTGTGGGTGCCTGGTGCTGCCACAAGGTGAACCCAAACAGTTTTCACATCTTGCGTGACTGGAAGAGAGAGTACACGATGGAGAAGATATTGGTTGAGCTGAGGAAGGATATGGCTTCACCCCAAAACCGGAAACTTCCTCAGCCGCCAGAAGGGTCATCGTTCTGAGCATGGCTAAATGAGAGAAGAGAACCAATTCTGGTAGGCAAAAATGGTGGCCCACTCAAATGCCATTGCTGTGTAGACAGCTGCACTGAAGCACTGTGTTGTTGTGCCAGTGTGTGCATATCCACAGACAACCCCCTTGCCACAGAGCAGGCGAATCGCTTCCATATGCTGTTCTCTCAGGTGCCCCTTGGATACTGCAGCACTTGTTACCTAAGATTAATGTGGCACAGCATCCCACTGTCAGGAAATTAATTGGCTGCAAGGGGATCTGTGCAACATGATGTACGTTAATGCCTCGATTCTCAACTTCACATGTGCGACGGATCGCCATTGTCTGGTTATTTCTTGAATGCTGTTGTCCAACATGTTGTGGAATTTCCCATGGATTCGGACAAGGCAAAGTCTCTGTTTGCACGGCATTTCTTATGTTGACGCAGCACTTGTGCCCATAGAATAAGCAACAATTGTGTGCACTCCTGGCAGGATCCCAAACGATGGCGTCCCTGCCAGTCTGCTGGATTGGTAGCAAGAGATGTGCAATGCCTATTTGTGTGTGTTGTTGCTAGGGATGCAGTGCATGCCGCGCATCCTTCAGCTGCACTTGCCATCGTTTTCCTGACAGGGGAGAAGGCACTTGGCTGTGGCCATGCTTGGCACTTAGGGTCGGTGGATCTCCATGGCGGTGCCCTGAACTGGTTGGGCCTGCATTTTGTGCAGTTGCATGGGATGCAGCCTTGGGTCCTGGGATGAATCTTGTGGGCAGCAATTGACAGGCAGCTGGCGCCCAGTCCTGTGTAGTTTTGACTTCGCCAGAATGTCAGCATTCATGTTTGAGCAGTGATTGGGATTCCAATTGTCACCATCGTGAGGAGGAGCCACTGGCACACATCAGGAGGTTCTTGCTGGCTGTTTAAATGAGCTTTGAAATTGGTGTAGGAGAACTGATCAGAGTGGGGAATTCAGATGGGTGTGCGTGTGGTTGAACACGACCATGTGGGGCACCACCAGGTTGGATTGGTTCCCAAAGGGAACGAACCAGTGGTGCAGCCCAGTCTCGGTGGCTCTGAATTCAGTCTGTAAACAGTGTCCTTTGTGTTCTGCCTTGTGGATGCCTCAGCAGGGGTATTTGCAAACGAGTTTGCAAACCACCCAGGAAATGGTACCTGCAGCGTCGTTGATGTGTGATCCACATGGGCGGTGTGTGTGGCCCTCAAGTTGTGGGGCCCCTGTGGGACCTGTTGGAAGTGCTGCTGTTTTTCTTGTTTTGGGGCGAAAGACAGGCGTTGCGGCCCCGGTCAGCCTTTCTGGAGAACCCGTTGGCGAGGTGCTGGTCATTGCCTGGCAAACTGTGAGTGTACGTGTGCATTGGACAAAGTTCGGGCAACATACGAACCTTTCGCTGTGTATTTTGATGCGCCATTTCGACACTTGCCCTTCACCCCGAGAAACGTTCCTGGCGCGAATTCACAGATTGCCAATGACGATGTGCGTAAGAAGTTTTTGCGTCGGGTCTTTTGAGCAATATCTTGCCCGACATTTCTGTGCTCCAGACGCAGGTTTGCTGCAGCTTGGGGGTCCGGAAAAAATGGGCGAGGCCAGGTCGAAATACTCGATAACACAGGAGTAAGTTGCATGCAATGCAGCGCGCGATGGTCCTTCCGTTGGAGGACCGCCATGGCTGACCCACCAGCCGGCTAGCCCCACCGGTCCGGTGACTCATCCCGATTCATGTGTCGTTCGCGACGACGTGGCCATCCACAGCCGCCATAAAGGACCAGCCAGCCATCGTGGGGCCAAGGGGTTGGACAACAGCGGCCCACGCAAGCGCAATCCCAGGACAAGGGGCCCACCCTGAAACTGACCGGAGTGCATGAGTCAGACGCGTGGGGGACGCCCAAGGCCGGATGTCAAACGTTGGTGGCATTACTGAGACGGGCCGCAGTCGTGGAGTGGGCGAGATCTGCAGGCGGACTCTGTTGGGCGCGCGTACGGCGAAACACGCGAGCCTCCCGCTGAGAGTGCAACGCCACAGGCGCTCGAGCCAATTCGCAGCGGCGCTGCGCTGCCTGAGGCGGTGGGAGCAGCAGGCCCGTGCCCTTCGAGCGCGTGGGAATGGTTCCACGTGTGCCGGGCCGCAACCATGAGCGCATACGACAAGCGATTTAATTTCGAGTGTGAGGTTGTGCAGGAGGCGATCGGAGAGGTGGGGCTGCGTCGATGCGGTCGGGTGCACCGGGCCGATCGCTGCGGCGATCGGTCCTCTGTCGGTTCGGGTGTGCGTGACGGAGCGATGTAACGTGATTTTTCTCGTGCCGACGCCGACAGGCGATCTTGCTGCGGCCGCACGGGTGGCAGGGCGGTGGCCGCGCCGGGACGGGCAATCCAGATACGGCCGCTGCCCCGCTCTTCGAGGGACAGAGCAGACTGTCCAAAAAGGGTGCCGCATTCGAAGGTGAGTTTGGGTGGGGATGTGGCTACGCAGGGCTCCGAGGCCTGTGCCGCTGTCGGCCTTGAGACGGGCGCGACGCTCCGCCGCACCGCCAGCGACGCGACTCTGCGATCCAACGCCCACAAGCGCCGCACCGCGGCAATCTGCACGACGCGAATCCGCTCATTTCTGATCGTGTGGGTGTGCTTGACCGCCAGGCGCCGTGCTGCTGTCCGAGGCGACATCGAGGACTCCCGAGGTGTGACAGGAGGCCTCGCCATGGGCGGGCCCCGCCCCGGCGCACAGCTCGCGCCGCGTCCCGCTGCCTGCGCGGTGCAGCTTCAGATTGGCGACCGCTGCGCCTCCGCTGCCCTGGACCCTGTTGGCCCCAAGGCTTGCCCCCTCGCTCGCCGCCCGCCGGCACTCCCTCTTCTCCTCATTTGCCCCCCGGGCCTCAAAACTCCCTGTGCGCCCCCTTCCCGCCCCGGCAGCTCAGCGCCGGTGCGTGTGCCTTGTAGGGAGACCCGGCTATGCACCCCTCCAACTCCGAGAACTTGACATCCTGCATGGCCGACCTCATGCTCACCCCCTGCACAATCGGGCCACCGAACGACACCGCCTGTCGGGGCCATGCCGCGGAGACCAAGCTGGAGCTGATACCCCTGGAGGGCCACGGTTGCGGCCTCTCGGTGGCCTGTGCGCCTCGGTGTGCCTTGCCGCCGGGTGCCGACACGCAAGATCAGGCCGCCGGTCGCGGCGGCCAGACGGCCGCCTTCCTGGACTTGGAGCTGGGGGGCACGAGCATGTTCTACGAGGACGGCGCGGTGCAGACGGACGGCCTGTTTGGCGAGGAAGAGCTGAGGGAGCCGGACTTCGACGGCGCCCTGCCGTCGCTGCTGTCCGCCGACGCCGTCGCCGACCAGTGGCCGGGCTCCCTGCGCGACCAGCGCGACCTGGCGTGCTCCGCGCCCGCCCGCCCCTCCTCCCTGCTCTTCTCCAAGTCGCTGGAGTCCGCCTACGGCGGCGGGGAGAGGGCCTGCGCGGCGGCCGACCCGTGGGGCGGCGTTGAGTGGGTGCCCGCGGAAATCGTGTCCGCGCCGCTGGGCATGGCGGCCTTCTTCAGCGCGCCGGACATGGCGACCTCCGGCGGCGAGCTGTTCCAGATCGACGGCCTTGATGTGAGGGAAGAGGACGGCGACGCCCCGCCCCCGGGCGCAGAGCAAGGCGCCCTGGCGTGGATGCCCAAATCGATGCCAGAGGCCCCGGGCTTCGTGCCATCTGAATGCGCGTCCGCCGGAAGGCAGGAGGGCATGCGGCTGCTTGGAGAATGCGGGCAGATTGAGGATGGTGGGGACGGCGGGGGGCCGGGGATGGCTGAGCGGGTCAAGGAGGAGCCGGCCCACGGGCGGCAGGGGCCCGTGGCGCCCGAGGGGGCCACCAACGGCCGGGGGTGTCGGCGGCGCGTGCATCCGGTGTCCAAGTTCATCGGCGAGGAGGTGTGCTGGACGCCCGACGACAACGACTGCAGCGACGGGAATGTGGGGCGGGAGAGGGTGCGGCGCGGAAAGGGCGCCGGCAGGTCTGGCGCGCGGCCCTACAGGAGCCGGGCCAGGGCCTTCGGGCGGCGGAGCAGCTGGGAGGGCGGGAACGCGTGCGGGGTGGACGCCGTCAACAAGAGGAGAAAGCAGCACAATCCATGGTATTGTGGGGCGCGGGGCATGTGGATGGAGCTTGCTCGCGTTTTGGCCACAGCTCCCATCGCCGGAAGCTCAATGGAGGGCTGAGGGAGATGGGCAGGGGTTTGTTTGGGTATTGGGAAGGGGGGACCTTGTGGTTGCCGCGTCGGCTCTGCTTTTACCCATGCGTGCCAAGGCTGTTTCGCAGTTGTGAAGCACGGGAATTGAAGCAGGCGTCGGTTGCCAAAGTTGTGAATTGTGGGCTTCAGGGGTCGTTCACGAGGTGTTTTCAAGGGGAGTAGGGACACTGTCGACTCCCAAGTGCTGATTTCCTGGCATCCCCCAATTCGTTAACAAGAGCTCCCACTGGTGGCGCTGGCAGGCGACAGGCAACACTGCCCCATCAGCATTAATTCCCTGAACAGCTCAGCAAAGGATGGAGCAGCATCCACTCAAACAGTCAGCTTGTAAGTCGATGGCGATGTGATTTTCTTTTGTTGCTGCCAGGTCGCTTGAAGAAACCAGGACCCTTGTGAAGGGTGTGGAGATCTGTGGTGGTGGCAAGTGGGCAGATATTAAACGCCTTGGCTTTCGAGAAATCGGTGGTCGGAGTCCAGTTGATCTGAAGGACAAGTGGCGAAACTTGTTGCGAGTAGCGCTGCTCCCTTTGGAGCAGATAAAGTTGAAGAAGGTAAGTGCACATGCAGGTGCAGGGGAGGGTATGGATGGACGGCTGCTTTTCAGAGATTTAGCACAAGTGCAAGTACGGGAATGCAACAATTGTGAGCAAAATCTGTGTTGCATTTTGCCTGCTTTTGTTCGTGTTCCTTGTCAGATTGCATTGAGATTGAAAAATTGAATAGTGATACAGATCCAACCAGTGCTGGATGATTCAATCGAGTTCGCAAACCAAATGCTGTTCCCCTCGATGGGGCCAGCGTTGCCCACATGACTGGATCCTGCTGATAGCGTGTGTATGTGCGTGTGTCTCAGGCGGACAACCGCCATAATCTCCCGATGGAGCTGCTGCATCGTGTTAAAGAGTTGGCCCAAAATGCAGATAAGTCACCAAGGACGGCACAGATGCTGTCAGGTAGGCGCTAGAGCTGAGGCACCAAGGAACCAAGATCTCAGGGCTGCTGTTGCCTCCAAGACAATGATAGGGAATGGTAGGCTTGGCTGCATGATGTGTTTGCATTGCTGCATTTGCAGTGCTCGATATTTGTGTACTGTTGTGTGTGAAGGGCTGGGGTTTTTCGTGCTTGACCTACATCATGCCAGGCTTTTATCGAGGGTGGCATCGTGTGTGCCAAGTGCCCCATGGCACAAAGGGCTTCTTTTTCTTGGCAAGCTAGCGAGCATAAGGGTGCTGGATAGGCAGAGTTTAGCAGCACGCAAGAAGGGGTTGGAAGCAACCTGGTAGCATGGGCACTTGAATCAGGCCATGTCAATGAATGCCGTTTTCGCTGGACGATAGTTTTTTTTTGGACGAGGGGCAAAAGTGATGCAGGGGGGCATTTTGCCAGTGGGATTGGCTGTGAATGGCGCAGTGCTGTCACGGGATTGGTTAATTGGACTCCCTATAAGGGAATGATGCAGCTGAGCTGCCCTTCTGCCCTGTGCAGTGTGTTGTGTGCACACTGCAGTTTGTGGATCGTCAGCATCCCGCCCAGCACTGCCATGAGTGTTCTGGTGTGGAGGATGCAGTTGAGGAACACAACGCAATGAGCAGAATACTGGTTGCCCACGTGGTCTAGATTTTGGAACTTACAGCAGAGGCTTGGTTGCTTCCGCCTATTGCCATCGATTCATTGCAGCTGCCTGTGGTTGTGCATGCCTTTGCCAGCACAAAGCAGACTGCATGGGCCAGATCAATTTTGGGCAGAATGAAGGTGACTGTAACTGTAAGTGTAACATTGTACGATGGGGGATTCATTTTGGTGGCAGGTCGGAGGTGTCGGCCCACCATCGCTTCCCTGTGGTGCTTGTGCCACCATGATTGTAGAAAGGAAACTTGCGGTGCTGTGCGGGCATGGGGGGGCCTAGAGATGGATCATCGGTAAAAGTTGTGGTGTACGGGGCAAGGGAGTGAGATGCCTCCCGATTGGGGCATGGGACAAGAGTACGCTGACGTTCTTCCAATATGATGGGGTGGCGTTTTGTGCTGCACAGGGCGTAGTATGTATGACGTAGGGCTAACGAGTTTTGTCTTTTTTCTGTAATACTGCATAATTGGTAGGCAGTGGTTGTATTGTTTCTGGGTTGGGGAGGGGGGTTTGTGAGTCATCATTAGAGCTGTCTGGGACATCGACAAAGTATGTGGCGATATGAAGTTTCAGCGTAGGTGCAGTCAGTTGCCTAAAATGACATGCCGAGAGGTGTGTTGCTGCCATGTTTTGTGTTCTGGATGATCTTGCGTGGCAGCGACATTGTAAGAATGGGACAATGGGCCCATCCCCTTTGGGGGGAATGGGAAGCAGCAGGGGATCTCAGCTAATGTGCACAATGGCCAATTTGTTTTTCCCAGCGATGTTGTGTTCGCTGACTCCGACAAGGTCCCTTGGGCAGCATTGTACATTACTATTGGTGGAACAGGATGGGGTTGTGCAGCGTAGATGCAGCAGTGGTCGAACAGCTGACATTGGTGAATCTTCACGGAACGGGTTTGAGCGGAATTGGGGAACCAGATACGTGTAGTTTGCTCGTGCTTAGGCTCAAACGGCTGTCCACGAACTGACCAAAGTGCTTGCACGTTTTTGGCATTTAATGGGGCTTCCATGCATATATAGCACCACCGAACAAACTGGCTGATCTTCTTTTGCTTGTGTGTTTGGTAATGACTGTAATGTGCAGCTGCACTGAACTGTTATCCATGCGCTGTGCCTAACGAAGGAAGCGAATTGCGAGTCAGCCTTGGCGTCCTTGGCAGTCAAGCCACAACTGAGCTGACGCAGGTCGGCATTGTTCTTGAGAAGCATTGGTGTTGTTGTTGATCAGCTTGTTGTTTGTTTCGTGTTTGGTGAACTGGTTGCTCTGCGCAGAGAACCTTCGTGCCGCGTTGCACTGTGCTGCCGAGACGCAGTGTTTCTGCCTTGTCATCCTACACGACCCTCCCACATGTTCACGCGGGACTGGCAGTTACACCAGCTCGCTTGGTATCCATCGCCACGGTTGATTGCGTCCTGTAGCTTCGCTGGCACTTGCTGTAGGACAAGACTGACTCGCCCTGAGTCAGTTCCTGAATCCAGTGCTCAACTTTTGACTTTGTCTGTGGTGCTGCGTCCAACAGTCCGTCGCCGTACATCAGTCCTGACCCCTCCTTGAATTGCGTAATAGCATCGCCAGCAGCGAATTTAGTAATGGCCGACTTCTTCTGGGAACTCAGCATCCGAATACCTAATTTCGCACAATAGATTGATTCCGACAATGCCCCAAGGCAGCTTTCCCAAACACTGGTGAGAAAAACAGAGCGCACGAAGGCGTTGGATGAGAATATATCAGTCCCCCTGTGTCTTTTCCGTGAGGATCAGTTCTTCCGCTGATAAGGGCAACGCGGGTCAGTGGGTCGTGGTGGTTTAAGGGCTTAAGGTTTCCGTGAAGACACCCTCCCGTTTCGGACGAGACAGAGGGACTAATTATATCCTGCGTTGGATGATTCTTTCCTAATGCCTGCACATCAGCCACGCGACAAGGTCGACCAACCCAAACACGACCGCCAGCACACGCACTCAGAGCGCCACCCAACGCCGTCCACACCGCAGGGCTGCGCGCTTCAGACGTCTAGCACCGCGCGACTCGGTGCGTCCGACCGTCCAACGCTGCGGAGGCCCAAAGCGCAGGCAGCGGCATCCGCCGCGCCCCCCCCGCCTGCCATCTGCTGGTCATTGGCGCGCAAGGCCGCCGCGGCAGCGGCCGGATGGCCCTGTGCGGGCAAACGCACCAACTCGTACGACAGGCAAGTAGCGCCCCCGGCGAGATTCGATCCCCGCCGCTCTTGTTTGAGGGCGGCGCACTGACGCCCTGAAAGCGTTGCTGCCGCTGGACAGGTGTGCGCGCTGGCCGCACGCCAGCTGCTGATCTCATGGGCGGGAAAGCCGGGCGCGGCGATCGGCCGGGGCGGGGCGGCGCTCGCGAGGGGCGAGGGACAGCGCAGGGGAATGAGCTTCTTTAGCCGTTCTGTGCCGCGGGGCCACAAGGAGCAGGTGCGGAAGTTGCGCAATTTGGATTCCCTTTAGATGTTGGCGCCTTGATTGGGTGCACCAGAGGAGAGGACGCTGGGCTTTGGCGGTGTGTGCCCTTTTGGAGTGGAGCTGGACTGCCCGAGGTCCTCAACTTGGCATTCTGCGATTCCCAGGCAAAGGCAGGGTCCGAGTGAGGCCTTGGTGATTCCAGCAGGCAAGGCCTGCACAGTGGGTAGCCTGGATTGGGGGGGCGGCCCTTAGCCAATCGTTGATCTCTTTGGATTGCTTCTTTTGCCTCCTGCCTTCCATTGGCATGGGGTTGATTCTGCCGGAGTGTGCAGGCTGACTTCCTGCGGGAATTGAATCTGAGAGGCAAGGCTGAGGAAGTTGTGTCACACTTCGAGAGCGGGAACGTTGCCACCTCTGAGGGGACGCTTGCAGAGTATGTCAAGGCGCTGGTCAAGATGGAGGCACTGGACGGGTCTGCTCTGCTGCGAACATTGGAGGTGGGGGATGCACCATGTGTGAGTGATCACAGGAGCGCCAGTGGAATTCAATGAAGGGGTATGCCATACAAGAGGCTCCTCTTACTGAAAAGTATTTTGTGACAATGTTTCCATCCTACACAGACGCTGCAGGAGTTCAATGAAGGTGTATGCGATACAAGAGGCTCCTCTTACTGAAAAGCATTTTGTGACAATGTTTCCATCCTACACAGACGCTGCAGGAGTGCAGGCATGTAGTGCCAAGTAAACGCAGTTCTCAAGAATAAGGACATGTTATACATTGCAACAGCCTGTTGATTGAATTTCTTGAGACTCTGGGTGCAATAGTCCCAAGCCGCCAAGCCAGAAGGTGCATGGAGAATCATCACTGCTGTGCCCAGCTGGGAAGGTCCTCCAGGGTGGGAATTTGGGCATCTGCTGGGATTTTGGTTCACAGGATACATTTGTGAGTTGTATCATGTTGTGGCAGCTACATGCATGGGATGTTGCACTCTTCAACTGCTGCAATAAAGCAGCCCAGGTCAAAACTGCTTGCCCATACTTTTGGCAAAGTGTCTGTGCAGTTGTCATTCAACAAGTGGGAAGTAGTCCTGGTGCCTTTGTTGGCAATGGTGGAACTCTTAGGGCCCTATCTTCTAGATTACACGCAATTTGACAAAGACAAGGCAAAGAATAAACTTCATTCAGACCTTTCCTCAGTTACATATACTGAACTGAAATCGCAATCCACACATTCCTGCAACGAGCAGTATGGAGAATAAAGCCCCTTGGACCGCGTACTTGTCTTGTCACTGTTTCAGACCACAGCTATGCATTTCCACCTCCTTAATCAATCTGCACTTGCAATTGGGAGCTGGCAAGGGGCCGATGGTCAACAGTACCGTGTTGCATGACATGAATGTTGGTTGAAGATTGAAAGTGGGCAATCTGGAACCATGTTGATGATTGCATGGCGGCGCATGACAGAATGGACACCTGTGTTAAAGGTCATCAACATTGTTAACTGGATTGCAGAGAGGTGCAATAATTGAAAGTGCGTTGGCTGGGCCCCCCGTGCCTGCTCCAACAGTAAATATAATCCAAGGTCAGATTGTGCGGAACAGGGCATGCAATTTGACGTTGACAGTGGTGGCTGCACCAGTTGCTCCACAGTACTGCAGTGGCAAAGCAGCGTTTTGCAGTTCCAGGAAAAGTAATGTAGACCGAAGTGCACATGCTGTAAAGTTCCCGCCTCATTATCTGACATGTGAGGGCTTCATCAGCTAGCCATGTCCAGGTGTCCAGCATAGGTTATCCATGCAAATTGCTCCCTGTGCTCAATCATCTCAAATACCTGGAAAAGGGCTGGTCCAGTGTGCAGCCCGTATCTGCCAACAGTGACCAAAAGGCCCACAATGGCATCAATGTTGTTTTGTTATCCAGAGATTTTAGAATGGTGTGCCATCGCTGGTTGAATCGCAGCGAGGAGCCAATGGCATTCGATCGAGGATGGCCACTTCGGCTGGTAGCTACGCATCGCGAAACGGGGCACCTCGGTACCCGTTCAGTGCAAGGCCAGTTGCGCAGCCCGCAGCAAGGTCTGCAGCAGAGGCGGCCCCACGGCAATCAGAGGCAGCAGAGCTGCTTACAAATGCTGCTGCTTTTGGAACACAGAAGAATCCCATACATGTTCTTCAGGTTGGCTGCAAGAGTAGATTCGTTGGCGGCTCTACTTGTGCTGGTGTGCCGATCAATTCATTTGGCACGGTCACCTGAACATCCACTGCCCTTTCTATACTTGAGCATACTATACTGGAGTGTTGGCATGAAAGCATGTTTGCTTTGTATGTGTGCATAAAGGCTGAGGGATGCCAAACAAAATCTAGTACCCAGTTTTTGCTATTTCTTTTCCTGTGCATGGTGCTTTGCATATGCTGCTCCCTACATCTTCATCTGATGCATGTTTTAGCTGAACCAGTTGCCCTTTTCTCAAGAGGATTACTGCTAAAGCGATACCTACACCAGGCACAGGTGAACTGATTTAGCTTCCAGGTTGAGTGCGCCAACATTGTCTACATTGCACTGAGCATGAGGAATTCTAAATCCTCAGGCGTTGTACTTTTGGGGCAGTGCACCATCAGCACGCATTTTCTGCATTGTAGTGTTGCACACACAGTGCAGAGCTCTGCAGAATTGATTTTGAGGCGATGTTCCAATGCACATTGAATGGTATTTTTCCTGTTTGTTGGAATGACAATGTTTGGCTGCTCTACTTCCAGGCAGAGCCAAGCTTCAAGAGCCAGTTGTGGCGGACTGTGAGGACACTTCTCCTGACTTTCTTGTTGCTATCTGGCCTTGGGGCGCTCATTGAAGACAAGGCAATGCCCAGGGGTGTACTTAACAATCCAGACCTCAAACCATTGTTGAACTCCCCAACACGCTTCGATGACGTCAAGGGCGTGGAT